GAAACAAAAACTGACAGAGTCTTATAACAATTTTTGCGAAGAAAAATGAAATGACCCTGTATGTATAACATATACAACAGATGTAGATCTGAATTACACAAACATTCCAAGTAATAGGATCCTACATTTAGTTCCTGTCTGAAAGTAAGCCCAACAATCGATTGTTGTTCAATAAAATTACAAATATTATTGCATTGTCATGTAATAAGCCCACCCCCTGACTTTCATTTAAAAAAATGCAATGCCCTGGACTTTTTGCAGGATAAATACAGTAAACATAATATTGTATGATATAAATAACACAATATGTTGCCAGCTGCAGAGCTTTGTTGTTTAAATCTCTACGGAGGGATGGTGCCAATGTCAGGTGGGAAAATTTTGAGGGTATTAAGTTGGTTACTGTGGTGTGAGTATGAATACCTACAGGTATGCAGGGTGATTAAAAATGACTGGACTGTATGTATACATAACAGTTAACTAGTGATGGGAAATTGGTTAAAATCCATAACTGGTTAATGTTTATAATCAGATAGGTTTTCTGATTAATTAATTACATAATCGGTGGACCGTGTGTTTAACATTCATCAAAATTTCATGCATTCTTTGTAAAGGGAATATTTTCTCTTTTATAATTTTAACCTGAAATATTTCATTTACCTAAGATTTGCATAAGAAAGAATATCAGGGGCAATGGACATCTCTATAATGCATAATAAAAATTTTGTTTTTCTAAAACACAAGAAATACTAAGGTACTGATAATCAATTACGAAAAATTACAGTTGATTATATTATCAGATGAGGTTAAATGATAAAATTCTCAATTTTACCAGATCATCGCTCAATCACTACAATATAACAGTTAAAATTCTACAGGAGGATCTGGGTCTAGGTCCTGATTTAAGACTCTGCTGTGAAACTTGTTGACAGAAAATACTCAACTGAACCTACCCAATTACTGGTACCAAATGATTATGTCGCAATTAATTTCCTCTACATATATAACCACAAATTTCATAACAAGAAAAATAGATTCTTATATAGTTAACTGACCTGAATTCACAGGTGAATATGTTACAAGTAGATATGTTATTTGTCTGAGATTCCACTAAACAGATACAGATATGAGTATATTTCCAGACATGTGTTTTTTTTAATCAATCTGCACTAATACGTCGCTAAAACATTATTTTGTGTGACTATTTATTTGTATAAAAACAACATGACATTGCAAAGATCAAGACACATTCTTGCACTTTTCCTACTAATAACATTTTAAGCAGAACATGTAAACATTATATCATGTTCACAAACATAAACATTGACACCTGTATAAGCATACACATCATTTGTATGGATTTTTTATTAAGCGACCATCGTGACTTAAATACCAACCAAAAGACTAAAATAGCAATACGTCCTGGGTTTTAATTCAAACTTTGTCAATGGCCACGAGTGACCTTCGAATGAATCTGTCAACACTTTAATTATTCAGAAATACAGCATAATTTTTGTTTTTAAGATTAGAAAAAGCATTGTTATTTTCTCACGGTCGGTATATAGTGAAGTTAAACCCACTGATTTGTTGATCACAGTTTAAGATCTGAATACTGGATGGGTGGTTAGATATACACAGCATACCAATATATGTAGATAGCCCAGAGCTATTTTTACTGGTAAGGGACCAGATAATAACAGTGTTCACCTCAGAATCATTATGTCGGGTGGACACTAAGCACTGCAGTCGTTACATTAGACCCACATTCAAGAAATACGTCAACATTTATGCTGAGTCAGAAACACTATCTACCTGTTTAGAAAGAAGCAATGCAAAACCAAGTTGTCCCTGGTCATGGATATATCTCTAAATATTTGGGGGAAAAAATAGTAGCAATACCAATTACTAGGCTTTCTAATATTCATTACCTGGTTAGAGAGTTTACTATTCCATCATGGAGTGATATATTGTGTAAAATAAGTAAAATGTAGTTTATATCATGAAACATTTCATTTCCCTAAAACGGACTTACTTCTGATGATACATAATTCCCTGAAGGGTCATGTGTAATGTTATAGGTGTTGTATATGTCAAGCATTTACATCGGGTACTGTATACGTATATACTATGTTAAAGCTAACTGCCTCTAAGCTTAAGGAGTGTCGGGTGCACTGACTCGGAACTCTGTCATGTTCAAGGTGAGATAGAGGGGTCAAAAAAATGAAGTAGTATTGAGTGAACAGTATAGTAGTTGACACAGAAGATTCGTCCCTCAGGCCATGAGCCAGTGTCTGGGAATAAGCCTTACCGATGATACCTTGAGGTACTGCTGGTCAGTAGCTTATACCAACAAACATAAATATCCATACAACCTGCAATAAGCCCTTCCTGACTTTATATCAGAGGTAAATAAAAAGCGTGTAGGTCACTGAGCTTAAATTTCGAAGAAGAAATGTGGTATCAAAGGACATTATACACCCTGTAGCTTTATGCATACACAGACCGTGGTCTGGGGTTAGAATTAATTCTGGGTTTTTTGCCTCATAATTTCAACTTCCCTACAATTTTTCAATAACCAGGGTATTGTGAAAACTACTACATTTAATAACTTTGTACATGTCCACTAGCCATATAATATTAACTTCTCTGTAACTTTTCTACTACTCAGAAACCTGGTTATGTTATTACTGTTTCCTTGCCTGGTATGTCCAACAGGTTTTGTCCCACAAGCTTCAGAAAAAAAAAGTTTTTGCTGCAAAGAAAGATCAAGATTTTCTCTTTCTTAAGCTTGAAGAACTCCATGATAATTAATCCAACAAGAAAACTCTCTACCTGGAGAAATTTCATGTTCATATGTATTTAGCAGTTCATCTTCTAAGCTTCAGAAGGATACCTAATGGTATACAGAGGTCTCTTAAAAAGTGGTAAACAAATAAACAACGAAAAGCACTAACACCTGAAGCCAGCCAGGCCAAAAGTACATTCTACTTTCTTCTATTAGCTTAAAAAAAAAACAGAAACATGTCGGTAATTCTGTAGAACAATGTAGAATATACAATTGGCCAGCTTGGATTTAGGAGTTGGTGTTCTTTTGATTTTTAGATGTTTCCATGATAATTTATCAATAGTAGATCCAAATATAGAAAAATAGAATATTGAATGTGCATTAGTAATTTCTGTAGGATTTTTTCTAGTGAATCCAGAACATAAATTCCGAATTGATGAGTTCCAATACTATCAGATATAGTGAGTTCTTAAAATTTGTGAGACCCACCAGAAAAGCAAGAATCCAGGACTCAAATAAATCGGAGTTTTAAAAATCACTATGCATGCATGCAACATATATTGCAGGCTAGTTACTGCTTAATTAATATATATGTTTCATGAACACTGAACAAGCTTTAAACTGAAAATCTGGATATGTTTTCTACAACAACAAATTTATGGGTTTTCCTTTTTCTCAGTGAGCCAATTAAGTCTCAATTTGAAAATAATATGTAATTTAAAAAACATTCACGAAAACAAATTTTTATATTACTAGTTTTTTCAACTAAGAAGATTTTTTTTAGGGGGGAGGTTAAAAATATAATTTCATGAATATTTCCTAAAGCAATCAGGATATATTTAAATAATAAGCCCACACATATATATTGTTTTTTCAAAAGAGCTACAAACAAAATGCTATTTCATTGTCCTAGGACCATTTATTTGTAGTCAATGATGTGGGTAATCCAGTCTGGGTTTTTTGTCTCAATAATTCAAAATATCAGCTTGCTTGCTCCTCCACCATATAAATAAAGAGATGGAAAAATCAGTTTCCTATTATTTCTTGAAACAAACAAGTGCATGTACACATTCTCTTAAAGTGCTTGTATTTCCTCTAACCTGTTCACCTGACATTAGACATTTTCACAGACTGTTGATATCAACACATTTAATGTCTTGTGTTTAAAATATTGTAAGTACAATTACCATAAATAAATATATATTACAAATAGATTTGTATGGTCAATGAAGTAACGGCGAGTATGAACAAGAAAACTGTCAAAATTAAATATCCCGATAATCCCTTCTGCTGCTTGACTGCAGATGGGCGGCCCTGTATAATCAGTAAAGTGTAATGTTTGAAATCGCTATTTCCCCGTATATATGTGATTGTAGATTTTCTTTTTTCATCTAAAACATTTTCATGAATATATATCTGTAGATGAAAACTGCAGAAGGAAAATTAAGTTGATTTTATTTTTTAAAAAAGAAAATTAAAAACTTGGTCTTATAATATTTTTGAAACGTATTTACAGTTTCTTTTCACTAATTTTAAAAGCGGGACATGCTGGAATATTGGTAAAGCCCTGTATTAAATATAATTTTGTTCAATTTCCAGTTCACTAAACCGGATAAAACAATGTTGCATTAATATTGCGTGTTATTAGTTTGTTATATAATTTAAATAGAACTAACTCTCATGACCCCAATTTTAAACAGGTGCGTAATTCTTCGCTTAAGGAGTGTTACCAAAATAGTGCATACGTACAAGCAATAAATAAAGTTATCATTCCAATTACCAAATCACGTAGACAAATAAACAATAATTATTAAAGATTAAAAAAAGAAGATTTACCTGGAATTGCACACTATGCCTGTTTACATCGCATGACCTGGAAATAACCTGACTTTTTCTGACGTTAACATTTTCAACATGACACTGATGGAAGTTCCTGTTTGAGCTAAAAGCTGCACATTGTTCGTGTTAGTAGAAGGGAAGTAACTGCGCGAAGAGAAAATAATCAAAACCAAATACCTTGCCAACACGTTGTCAAATAAGGTGCTGTTTTACCTAAACATATTTTGATTTACCTCACTTGTTCGCATGAATGGCAGAATGGAAAATATTTGTCTGCATGGAATAATTCTGTGAGATTGTTTTCGCTGTTTGTCCCGCTTTACCTGTCCTCGAGTGCTTTTATGTTCTCGTAAACGATAACAAAACGTAACGTGGTTTCATGCAGCAGACATAGGTTATAACTGTTTACCAAACTACAATTTGTGTCGGAGGTAAGAATATTGGAAACGTTGAAATATCTCATCCTCAAAATGGTGACGATTTTGCAAATATCTGTCAATTTTTAGACTAATAGATTAGACCTGAAATTATTGGTATGCATCAGAACTGGAGAAAAGGATGGGGACTAGGCTTGTTAGCTTAATGTTTTTAAAGACTTAGCCGAAGTTTTAGCAAGAGAGATACTCTGTGACTCCTAGCTCTAGTCAAAAAGTTTTCTCTTGTCAATACCAGACCTTGAGATTTTGATGGGCAAATGTCTGGATCTCTGGATCATACACAGGACATTTGTAAATCAAAATGACAAAAATTCCAAACTCCCAGGTTAATCTTTATCTTTCATTTTTGTTCCATTTCAATTGCAAGTTCAGTCAAGATCAAATGAAATGAAATTATGTAGGTGATGTTTGAAGGGAAAGCAGGAAAGTTTTTCTCTTGTAGCGGAGTCAGTTATTCAAGTAGATGTTAACCAATTGGACATGCAATTCAGTTTTGCTGGTTTCCATTTGATGACACATTTCAGTCACTGCTTATATTCATTTGATAAGGAGGGAGATATATACAGGTTCATACAGAGATAACAATATCACGGGCACTTGTTTAACATCTACACAATTTGATTAATATTGTAACCTGATGTATTTATTTACTCTATATCATTTATACTCGTTTTTATAGCTAGAAGCCCTTAATCAACAGAGGAAGATTCAGCTAATACAAAATGTCACTGGCAGATGAATTAATTGCTGATTATGAAGATGCTGAGGATGATTTGGATGAAAATGAGGCAGAAGTGGTGTCCATGGACATTGCAGAAGTTGATGAAAAGGCTGAAGTAGATTACAGAGATAAAGAAACAGTAAAGAGCGTAGCTAAATTAAGGGACAGTGAACAAGTATGTGATGTATTCTAAAAGTTTTACATTTTCTATCTGTTCAACTATTTAAAGGTCACTAGCTGAATATATACTGCTATTGTTTAAATCATCCATTTTCATGTACATCTATTCAATTCCTTGTTTATTAATGCTATTTGGTAATAATTTTGCTCATTAGGTTATCTACCTGCAGGACTATTTGAAAAGGTCTTGTAATCCTAAGTCAGTGAAACATGTCAGAGATTTTACATCCAAATTCCTTGTCCAAGATTGCCTCGGGAATATAATCCCTCTTATTTTACTGACCTGGTATTACAGTGAGGCTGAAAAAGTATTGAAAACATGCATGCATGATGTCATTTTATTTACCAAAGTTCTAGAATGCTTTTATTTTTACTTCATAATCAAAATGTCAAGTAAAATTATGATTATTTAAGTCCAAGGGGCTAGATAAGTTAGATAATTCCCATACGCAGTAATTTCAGTTTGCAGTTTTTCATGCCAGATCTAACTTGCCTAAAATCCTAGTTCTACATTCAGAGAATTAACCAAAATGTTTCCAAACTGTTTGCATCTATAAGTTTAAAAACACTTGCAAAATCATTGTGCACTTTTTTTTTCAGCTTGCAAATATTTTAGTCAACATAGAAAAATATGCATCACAACCAAGAAGAGAAAAAGGTAAATGTTTTAGAATGTTTATTCCGTTGTTCAATTTCACAACATAATTATATAAATTGTGTCAGTTGTTCTTTTTACAATGGTTTAATTTAGGACAGAAAATTCTTGTGTGAAAGTCATATGTATTTTAAAGTATAATTAGAGGTTTTTGAAATTTAATTTTTTTTTTTTTTTTTTTTTCATCAGCATTTGTTTGTGATTGCAAATAGTTTTTGACTGATGACTTTTTGTTGCCTTTCAGTGGCTGGACCAGTTGAGGCTGATCCAGAGTATCAGCTCATTGTAGAGGCTAATAACATCACTGTGGAAATCGACAATGAAATAAGTAAGTATATATCAATATATGTGTAGATTTCTGAGTTTCCTTAATATATGATTAAAAAAACCAAGAACCTTCTTAATACCAGACCAAAATTGTGTGGAAGAAAACATGTCTTAACCATCATGTCCCAGTTGCTCAATGATTAGTTAACCAGTGGTTAGTGAAAAAAAAATCATTGCCTCCGAAAAAGCAAGGAATTTCAAAGTGAAATTGTCACCAGAAATATCAATCTAACCAGTCTCAAGAAATCTAAAGTCGTGAACTGATAAAAAATGTTCCCTCTTTGGTTTAATTTTGTATTTGAACATTTTCCCTGAACACAGCTTATCTCTCATATAAAAAAAGGTTTCATCAACTGCCTATTTATCAAGAGTTATCTCCCTGTCTCTATTGGATTGGGATATCCTATGCATTCTCTGACATCATTTTTTTAAGTGATTTTTTTTTTTTAATATTTTTTACTCTATTACGCAAACTTTAGCACATATTCTTTATTTCTTTCAAGCTAGAGATAATCTGATAAAGATAATAATTCAATTTCTCTGTATAAAATTTGTCTTTTGTCTACAATTTCTGTGAAGTAAACATAGTGAAAGTTACATCATAAATAGTATATTCTAAAATTTGGAATAGTTTTAATTTAAGGTAGAATTATATCATGTTGTTGCAAATTACGATGTTTTGCAGAATGATAACACACTCTAAGAGAACCAATATTCTAATGAATAACATTTACGAAAATATTTATTTATTTCGGCTTCTGCGAGTGGTTGTGTGTTAGATATGGAAATGTAAACAAACACAGAGTATGTATTTATGCATTGTAGATGTAATTCACAAGTTCACAAGAGATCACTACTCCAAAAGGTTTCCTGAGCTGGAGTCACTCATCCAGACCCCCATGGAGTATATAAAGACAGTTAAGGTAAGAGAATTAAGGAAAAGGACGAATGCTTTGTAAATCTTATGAAAACATGGCAAAAATAATTACACAAAATTTCATTGCTGATTTATGTTGTCAAAATGTTTGATGCATTGTGTCAAATGATATGAAACTATGATAACTCAATGGAAAAACAAACTCAAAACTAGCACACTCCTGTTTAAATATCTAAGCAATGTGTGTATATAATATAATATGATATAATATAATATAGTCAAAGCCAAAATCTGACTCTTACACCCATGAAAAAGTGCAGAGAGAATCAAACAGGATTCAATTGATACTTCAGGGGTTACACACAGGCTGATACACTCCTTTTGAAGATTACAAAGGAGTGACACCCAACTTTTAAGCCATTACATTATACCATTATGTGATCTTGAAATTCAATTAATGTATATTAAAGGATCAAGGAGCCTTTTTGTCTTGACAGGGTGTCTCACATAGAATCTTCAATTTCGTATTCGTATGACATGTTGCGGGTGGGGGGGGGGGGGGGGAGGGGGGCGTGGGTGCAGAGAGCGAAAGTTAACCCCCTTAGAGTATCATGGATGGACAGGATTCTGAAAGATGAAAACATCTATGTTGTTGATGATGACACCATGTCAATTTACTTCAAATCTATGTAATGTAATATCCTCAAAAACAGAACAGTGGTAGTAATGATAACAAGACTATGTGTCTGAACAAGCATAGTTCACATGACAGAAGATAGCGATTGTCAATTCTCTATCAATAGTCACTATCTGTCGTTGAGATCATGATGTCGAACACAACCCCTTCACATGACAGAAGATTGCGATTGTCAATTCTCTATCAATAGTCACTATCTGTCGTTGAGATCATGATGTCGAACACAACCCCTTGAACATTCAGAAGGTATAAGCATACCTATTCAAATATTGAACCATTCTTCTGTTGCCAGGAACTAGGAAATAATATTATGGAAAATTCGAAAAAGAATGAAGTCCTTCAAGAAATTCTTGTACCAGCCACAATAATGGTGGTGAGTGTGACAGCCTCTACTACACCAGGGTAAGTACCTATACTTAAATATTTGTCAAGTGAAATACAGAATTTAAAATGGGTTTGATAATGTTAAGAAAAGTTAATGAAGTGGGACCTGGAATAATATTCTCAGTTTTCTCAAGGATTTTTTCAGCTAAGTTTTGCGAAGGTTTTTTGAATTATTGATGAGTCCTATAAATCAAGAAGAGATATAGCCCCATCTATATTTGTACATGTATTAGATGTATAAAAAGTTTTTAAATAATTTTAGAATCCTTCAAGGAGAAAATTAATACTGAACTAAAAAAAACTGCTTCCCCAAATATCAACTTGACAATAAGTGATTAGGTAGTGTGTGAAAGAGGGAACATTACATCCACTCATAGTATCATAGTATTGGTCAGTATGTAGTCTGTTAATATTTTTCTAATCTGTTTATTTCCAGGACAAGTCTTAGTGCAGAAGAGATGACAACTGTAATGGAAGCCTGTGATATGGTAGGGTTATTTAAAATTATTTTATCTAAATGTATATGATGTCCCATTGAATATTGATTGTTTCTAAAATTCCAATATTTTCATGAGTGAAATGCTAGATCATTAATACTTAGCACATTTAGATTTGTGGGCGTACTCTGAAATGTACATATTTTTTGTGGTAATCTTATTTTAGAATACCCCATGCTGAAAAATGATGGTGATAATTACAGTATTTATGTGTTATTTTACATGCCAAATTCACTATTGCACTGCCAAAAATTGATAATGTGTTAAAATTTCATTGTACCATACTGAAACCACTTGCAGTATTCTGCCAAGAAAAATAAATGGTATTTAATTTGATTTCTTACAATATGTAACGGAAAATCAGCAAATGATTTAGTTTTAATATGATATTTGTTATAAAAATGTGTGAATTCTTCTAGAAATGTAGTTACATTGTTCATATTTGTGTCGTGATTACAATGTTGACATTTGTGTTGTGATTACAATGTTCACATTTGTGATATTACATTATTCATGTTTGTACTGTAATTGCATTATTCACATTTACTTGTTGTAAAATATCTCAGCTTTTGAAATTTCCCTTTTTTATATTAGTGTAATTGATTGTTTGACTACAGGCGATAGATCTGACAGAGTACAAGGCAAAGATATTTACGTACGTTGAATCACGAATGACCTTCATCGCCCCCAATGTTACTATCATTGTAGGAGCTTCCATAGCTGCCAAACTTATGGGTAAGTACTCGGAGGAATGTGTGGTGAACAGTCAGATATCACTCATAGTTTTAAAAAAATTATTTATATAGTATAATTAACACAGATTTTGATATTAAATGGAGAATAATAATTCGTGAGTGAGTAAATTAATTTTTCAAAAGTTGTCATTTTAAAAGAATCACACAATAAAAGCATCTTTGTTAGAAAACATCTGTTTTGGTGAATGTCTCAAAATGGAATTATTTTCTGGTCACAGGTACTGCAGGAGGCCTGACAAACCTGTCTAAGATGCCTGCTTGTAATGTCCAGTCCCTTGGGGCCCAGAGAAAGACCTTGTCTGGCTTCTCCATGGCATCAATACAGCCACACATGGGCTACATATATAACTGTGACATAGTACAGAAAACTCCACCAGTATGTCAAAAACTTATGCTTCTCTGATCTGAATGAAATGTATATGAAAAAGACCTCTAATAGTAATCAATAGACTGAGACACAATTACTATGATCAAAGACAAAGTGTATTCTGATGATGAAAAATCAATTTCATATTCTATTTGCAGGAAAGTTATTTTTAGCATTAATTTTTGCTTCAAAATGGCAAAATTTGCCATGACAGCAAATATTACTTTACAAATAAACAATATGAAATGTGGAGTAAACATTTGTTGAAAAGAATTCAGGCTTTACCTGTGAAGGGCAGGAAACTGATTAGGAAAAATGTTAAGAAGTTAAATTCTTTTGTGCTTTTCAAAACAAAATCCAAATTTTTCAAGGTTAAGATACCTTTACATACTTTTACAATTTCGCTTTTAAGGAGTTGCGGAAAAAAGCTGCCAGATTGGTGTCAGCCAAGTGTACCCTGGCTGCTCGAGTGGACAGTTTCCATGAGAGTGTGGATGGAAATGTGGGTGACAGTCTAAGGGCTGAGATTGATGGCAAGTTGGACAAGCTCCTTGAACCACCACCAGTGAAGACTGTCAAAGCCTTACCCACACCTATAGATGCCGCTCGTAAAAAGAGGGGAGGCCGCAGGTGTGCAAAATCCAATGTCATGATTAAAAAAAATGATTAATTTAGACAGGAAATGAGTTGTTCCTACTGATTTTTATGCCCCCTCCATTTATGGCCGGGGCATATAACGTTACCCCCGTCCGTCCTGTCCCGTCGCGTCCCGTCGCGTCCCAAATCAGTATATACCACCTAACAACTTCATTCGGAAGGCAATTTTCATGAAATTCATACAAATATCAAGTATGGAAAGACCTCATGCAGTGTTGAATTTCTCAGCATTCTAAAAAAAGATGGCCACCAGGGGGAGATAACTCAAAAAAGAGGAACATCATCTTCTTTCTACATAATTTGGTACTTGTGGGTTTTAAGGCATAAGGAACTAATATACTCCCTCATTTTTTCCAGAGAACAAAATTCCAAATTCATGTACGTTAAATCAACTTGTCAATTTAAGTATGAAATTTAAGTTGTACATAGATGCATACAAATTAACAAAATCATCTCTTTCAGACCTTTCACTATTATTTCACATGGGGGGGCGGGGGCATTCATGTCTTACAGACATTTTCTAGTTTTTTATCTGTTTATAATTATTAGGACCAATAGTATGTTTTTGTTTTATATCTACTTATATAAGTATCTTGGTGCTTGGACCAAAACAAACTTGTTTTATCATTAACACTTTGTTCTGGACATAAGTTCTAATATATTAACTGAAGTGAATTAAAAGAACTGTTCTGATTGGTCAATTGGAACTACATTCAGTGTTTACACGTGGTCAGTTTAATGAAGATATGATTTTATTGTGTAATTTTCTATACAACTGTTACATATTTCATTATAATTAGCCCACCCATCACTGTTGATGTACAGTATCCCCTTGTCCTGTAATAAGCTCACATTCTGACTTGGAGTCTTAGGTATTATGTTGGGTCACTGAGTTTGTTGTAATATAAGAACTCTATTAAATAGTTTCATTTTATTGAAAAATTTCTCAAAAAATTTTTTTTAAATCCCCTAGTCGTAATTTTTTTAAGCTACATTACACTTTTCATCATCATGATTTTGTTATGTGATTTTTAGAGCAAGAAAAATGAAGGAGAGACTTGGTTTGACTGAAGTCAGGAAAGCTGCAAACAGAATGAATTTTGGAGAGGTAGGTGTAATGGGAGTTTTCAATAATGCTGGAATGGAAAGGAAATGTTTCAGATGTATATTTACCACAGCTTATTTCAAAATTTGTAAACGAAAAAATAACCTAGAAGTCTTTGTTGCATAAAAAATTTGTCGGTCATCATTGGTCAGAAATCCTTTTTGTGTCAGTATAAATGTTTTAGCATTTTCCTGACTACAGTGTGTTTTATACTCCTTGATTGATCTATCCAGATAGAGGAGGATGCTTACCAGGATGACCTTGGCTTTTCCTTGGGAACGCTGGGTAAATCAGCTTCAGGACGTATCAGGGGACCAGTAGTCGACTCCAAAACAAAGGCCAAGATCTCTAAAACCTTACAGGTAAATCTCAAATCTGCTCTTTTTTATTTCACTTTTTAAAGTTTTAACTGAAGTCAAGGCTTCAGTTACAATTACACTATTTCAAGATAAAATGATTTTGTTCTAAATATCAAATATCTCCATTATGGTATATTAGCCAGGGTTTTCCATAATTTTGTTAGTAGTAGGCTGTGTAGTGAAAGTAGGAGGCTGGCCTGCCGTGTACATGTAGTCGTGTATGGAACATTATTACGGAACTGGATTGGCGTAGGCGGCCAAATGATCAAAATAGTCGGTCAAGTTGGCCGGCGACTGGCTCTTATGGAAAACCCTGATTAGCATAGAGTTTTAAACTTGACTTGATCTTGAGGGTCATTTGTCAGTGCATAAAAAAAAACTATTCTTCATGATCAATATGAAGGATGAGGGCTGTACCCTTCATTGAGCCCCTACTTGCTGTCTTTAAAGAAAAGAAAAAGTTGAAATTCAAAACTTACACAAAAAGTACTTGTTGTAAATGAGCAATTGAAAATAAGATGTAAATTTTTTCTTTTTTAACTTTTCTTTTTTAAAATTGTCTTGTTGGTATACAAGGTGTAGGTGTAGATAGTAGGAATACAAAATGAAAAACTGTGAATGAATCTTCTTTTGTTTTTCATCCTTGATTAGTTAAAAGTACAGAAGCAGAACCAGACATGGGGAGGCAGTACAACAGTCAAACGACAGGTGTCTGGTACAGCATCAAGTGTGGCATTTACTCCTCTACAGGTATTACTACTAAATTAGACCAATGGTTTCATTTGTCTGAGATTTGTTGCATGAAAAATTTTGGTTAGCTTCAAATTCATCTAGAAGTTCTTATCAATGGTTTACTTTCCATTGCACAAGTGCCAAAAATTTTAAGTCTCCAAAACTCTTAAGAAATGGATCTTATTTCATTCATTTGGGCACATGATCAATAATGTGAAGCTATGTACAACACCTAGGTGAGGTGTGTGGAAATAATTATATATGTCTTTGATGATGGTTGACTAAAAATTAACAGCTGTCACTTTAAATATTTGTTTAGATCAAGAAAAGTCTTGTAATGTAGATTTTTATGTATACTTTTCACATATACTTCACACCGATGAAAATATTGATATTCTGTCATACTTGTAAAATATTCAACAGGAACCCATTAGATATCCTCTACATCTTGTACATTTCAAATTAAAATATTATTTAAGGATTAATCAAATACATGTCCTTCATAGTAAGGATATTTACAGCTTTGTATCCATACAAAAACTGCCAATGAAGAGGGTTGGCACAAAAATCTCTTATGTTTTTGCTGCGATAAACAAATGGTTGTCTTGGTTTCACCTTTAAATCATTGATTAATGCAAAGTTTTGATATTTCTTGGGTATTACAATGATGCTTGTTATGTTAACAGGGTCTGGAGATTGTCAATCCCCAAGCAGCTGAGAAGAAGGTATCGGGAGGAAGTTCCACCTACTTCTCTAGTACTGGCAGTTTCGTAAATGTGAAACAGAACAGGTGAAGATATAGGAAAGTAAGCACACCCACGAATGCTAAATAAAGCTGAAAGAAGACAATGGAACATCTCGTCCAATGGTAGGGTTGTCACCATTAGGTGGTGCCTTTAAACAATTTACATTGGCTGACAATTACGAGCAACTTGACATCACATACAACCTTCAGGCGTGTGGAAGTCCTTCATATTTCACCATGAAATGCTATGGTAACTTCAGCTCGTGTAGTTAACATTTTACTGTGGACCAGAGAAATGTGCACCACGTACAAGAGATTTTTATTTTTTTGTAAATAAATCTGGTCATTTTGTTGTCTGTTAAAGATGATCCTGTGTGGGTAATGTTCTTGTGTGATGGGAAAAAAAAATGTCCATAATTTGTATCATTGCTAAAGTCGATGACTTCATCTTTCTTGGGTCTGTGGCTCAACCTCTAGTTGCTTGGCAATTCAATAAATCACACATACCAAACATGTATTTACGTATTGTGTTTTTCTTACCAAACCAACTTGTACAACTTTTCTAATAAAAGAGGTAAACAAATGGTTTATTTGTAAACAACAGAGGCTACATGTATTCATCCAAATCTAAAAAAGGAATGTTGTTTTGAATGTTTATTTTTCTTCTTTTTTTATCTTTTCCAAACATTTCGGTCACTAAAATAGGAAATTTGGTAACCAATGTCAACCTTGTGAACATTTCATTATCCCATTTTAATGGGAAACTTGTTACCAGTAAAACATTAGAACATTTTGATGCTAGTCTATATAAATTGATAGACTTCAAGTCTGGTAATCATACATAACAGCTCGTTAACTTCACAAACATATTATTGGAGTTTTTCATAGAGAAATCACAGCAAAGCATGCAAATTGTGAAATGATTAAAATATATTAAATTCATAAGCAAGACTAACGGAACAGATTATTAGACTTTGATACAGTATAAAGAGGACATGTTATGAACACTACTTCTACCATTTTCAAAATAACAGAGACAAACACAACAAATTCTTTTTCTGGGCTATATTTTATTTGTAATTTATTCAGCTCTTGAGATTATAATAATAAAAAAGTCATCCAAAATAAGCTGATATCAAGAGAAAATCTGGAAAGTAAGAACATATTTTTGTGACGTGGTAAATGAGATATAAGGTTACCCAAACATCCATTAATGAGAACTTAGCTCTGATATGAAGTTGTGCTTGAAACTTCCAAAATTTGTTTCCTTGCATAAATGGAACATTAAGACAGTTAAAATATTAATCATTTACATACCACAAAATCATGTCACTCTCCTTTCTAATAAAATAATAATTAATAACATTTTTAGAATATTTTGCTTATACATTGTATAGTATGCTTAAATTATAAAAATATTTCTTACACAAAATTACTCTTCAATATACAATACCATATGATGTTTTTTCCAAATACATTACAAATATTTTCAAGACCATTTTTCTTTTCCTTCATAACTTCTGCTTCATGTGTCTCCATAATGAAATCTGCACTAATCAAAATTTACTCCTCATTAAATCTCGACTAATCAAAGTCAATCCGTCATTGAATCTCGACTTATCAAAATCACTCCGTCGTGGAATCTCCACTTATCAAAGTCACTCCGTCATAGAATCTCGACTTATCAAAATTACTCCGACATTGAATCTCGACTAATCAAAGTCACTCCGTCATAGAATCTCGACTTATCAAAATCACTCCGCCATTCAATCTCGACTTATCAAAGTCACTCCGTCATTGAATCTAGACTTATCAAAATCACTCCGCCATTGAATCTCGACTAATCAAAGTCATTCCGTCATTGAATCTTGACTGATCAAAGTCATTCCGCCATTGAATCTCGACTAATAAAAGTCACTCCGTCGTGGAATCTCGACTTATCAAAGTCACTCCGTCATAGAATCTCGACTTATCAAAATCACTCCGTCATTGAATCTCGACTAATCAAAGTCACTCCGCCATTGAATCTCGACTAATAAAATGTACTCCATTATTGAATCTCGACTTGTCAAAGTCACTCCGTCATAGAATCTCGACTTATCAAAATCACTCCGCCATTCAATCTCGACTTATCAAAGTCACTCCGTCATTGAATCTAGACTTATCAAAATCACTCCGCCGTTGAATCTCGACTAATCAAAGTCACTCCGTCATTGAATCTTGACTGATCAAAGTCATTTCGCCATTGAATCTCGACTAATAAAAGTCACTCCGTCGTGGAATCTCGACTTATCAAAATCACTCCGCCATTGAATCTTGACTGATCAAAGTCATTCCGCCATTGAATCTCGACTAATAAAAGTCACTCCGTCGTGGAATCTCGACTTATCAAAATCACTCCGTCATTGAATCTCGACTAATCAAAGTCACTCCGCCATTGAATCTCGACTAATAAAATGTACTCCATTATTGAATCTCGACTTGTCAAAGTCACTCCGTCATTGAATCTCAACTAATCAAAGTCACTCCGTCGTTGAATCTCGACTTATCAAAGTCACTCCGCCATTGAATCTCGACTAATCAAAGTCACTCTGTCATTGAATCTCGACTTATCAAAGTCACTCCACCATTGAATCTCGACTAATCAAAGTCACTCTGTCATTGAATCTCGACTTATCAAAGTCACTCCGTCATTGAATCTCGACCAATAAAATGTACTCCATTATTGAATCTCGACTTATCAAAGTCACTCCGTCATTGAATCTCGACTTATCAAAGTCACCCCGCCGTTGAATCTCGACTTATCAAAATCACTCCGTCATAGAATCTCGACTTATCAAAGTCACTCCGTCATTGAATCTCGACTGATCAAAGTCATTCCGCCATTGAATCTCGACTAATAAAAGTCACTCCGTCGTGGAATCTCGACTTATCAAAGTCACTCCGTCATAGAATCTCGACTTATCAAAATTACTCCGCCATTGAATCTCGACTAATAAAAGTCACTCCGTCGTGGAATCTCGACTTATCAAAATCACTCCGCCATTGAATCTAGACTTGTCAAAGTCATTCCGCCATTGAATCTCGACTAATCAAAGTCACTCCGTCGTGGAATCTCGACTTATCAAAGTCACTCCGTCATAGAATCTCGACTTATCAAAATCACTCCGTCATTGAATCTCGACTAATCAAAGTCACTCCGCCATTGAATCTCGACTAATAAAATGTACTCCATTATTGAATCTCGACTTGTCAAAGTCACTCCGTCATAGAATCTCGACTTATCAAAATCACTCCGCCATTCAATCTCGACTTATCAAAGTCACTCCGCCATTGAATCTCGACTAATCAAAGTCACTCTGTCATTGAATCTCGACTTATCAAAGTCACTCCGTCATTGAATCTCGACCAATAAAATGTTCTCCATTATTGAATCTCGACTTGTCAAAGTCACTCCGTCATATAATCTCGACTAATCAAAGTCACTCCGACATTGAATCTCGACTAATCAAAATCACTCCGTCATAGAATCTCGACTTATCAAAATCACTTCGTCATTGAATCTCGACTTATCAAAGTCACTCCGTCATTGAATCTGGACTTATCAAAATCACTCCGCCATTCAATCTCGACTAATCAAAGTCACTCCACCATTCAATCTCGACTAATCAGAGTCACTCCGTCATTGAATCTAATCAAAGTCACTCCGTCATTGATTCTCGACTTATCAAAATCACTCCGTCATAGAATCTCGACTTATCAAAGTCACTCCGACATTGAATTTCGACTAACCAAAGTCACTCCGTCATAGAATCTCGACTTATCAAAATCACTCCGCCATTGAATCTCGACTTATCAAAGTCACTCCGTCATTGAATCTTGACTTATCAAAATCACTCCGCCATTGAATCTCGACTAATCAAAGTCATTCCGTCATTGAATCTTGACTTATCAAAGTCACTCCGTCATTGAATCTGGACTTATCAAAATCACTCCGTCACTGAATCTCGACTAATCAAAGTCACTCTACCATTCAATCTCGACTAATCAGAGTCTCTCCGTCATTGAATCTAATCAAAGTCACTCCGCCACTGAATCTCGACTAATCAAAGTCACTCTACCATTCAATCTCGACTAATCAGAGTCTCTCCGTCATTGAATCTAATCAAAGTCTCTCCGCCACTGAATCTCGACTAATCAAAGTCACTCTACCATTCAATCTCGACTAATAAAAGTCACTCCGTCATTGAATCTCGACTTATCAAAGTCACTCCGCCATTGAATCTCGACTTATCAAAGTCACTCCGACATTGAATCTCGACTAATCAAAATCACTCCGACATTGAATCTCGACTAATAAAAGTCACTCCATCATTGAATCTCGACTTATCAAAGTCACTCCGCCATTGAATCTCGACTTATCAAAGTCATTCCGTCATTGAATCTCGACTTATCAAAGTCACTCCGTCATTGAATCTCGACTTACCAAGTCTCTCCGTCATTGAATCTCCACTAACCAAATTCAAAATGTCTCTAGTCAGAAACCTAGTTGCAGTATATAGTACATTGTATACATATCATTACACGATACAACTTGGTCATAATTTCGAAAAAGTTTAAATGAGTTGACAATATATTCATGAAATACCATTGACAACACATAATGACAGTATGATATGAAATATCTCTAGGCAAAATATATGTGCATTATTGATTTTTTTTCAAATGAAATATATATGTAGAAAATCTAATACATTAAAAAAATACATAAAATTAATTAATAGATAAATAAATAGATAAAAAGAGAAACGTGTACATGTTGTCAAAATGTTTTGATTAATATTTAAAATGAAAGAAACAAAAGACCTCAACTCATCTCTAGAACATGTTCTGTTGTCTATGCGCAAAGTCTTTTAAAGTGTGTATTGTAAATTGTGTTGGAATGAGATTCCTGAACACGTGCTATCATGGTTTTCATTTTGTTTTTAAACTTTCATCATATGCCTTTGCTATCTTTGGGTTTTAATAATATCTCCGATGACTAAATAAAAAAAATGCATAACGATATAGGTGTAATTTGTGACGAGAAACCATAGAAAGCCCTTTGTCTATCTGGTTTGGTTATTGATGTGCCGTTTTCGCTCTCAGAACAGAAAAAAATATTCACATTTTGTAAAACGTGGTAGCGGTTATGTTTAAAAGTTCATGTACCAAGGTTATAGATAAAGTCGGTTATAAAATGTTTATCTAACTTGGTTATAGATAAAGTCGGTTATAAAATGTTTATCTAACTTGGTTATAGATAAAGTCGGTTATAAAATGTTTATCTAACTTGGTTATAGATAAAGTCGGTTATAAAATGTTTATCTAACTTGGTTATAGATAAAGTCGGTGATAAAATGTTTATCTAACTTGGTAATAGATAAAGTCGGTTATAAAATGTTTATCTAACTTGGTTATAGATAAAGTCGGTTATGAAATGGAATATTTCACTACATCATTATGATCAGATGAAAT